AATAAAATATTTATACACATGAATGAAAGAATAATTTAACCTGTCATGTGGATTTTGATACTTAGATATGCCTGAATTCATTTTCATTTTTTAAAATTTATCTTTATTGTTGAAAGTATTACAGATGTCCCTTTTTTCCCCATTGACCTGCTCCATCCTGCACCTGCATCCACCAGGCACTCACTGCACTATTGTCTGTATCCATGGATTATGTATGTATGCATATAAATTCTTTGATTAATCTCTTCTCACCCCCTTACCCCACATTATCATTATAATTTCACTAGAGGCCCGGTGCACGAAATTCATGCACTGGGGGTGGGGGGTTCCTCAGCCCCGCCTGCGCCCTCTTGCAGTCTGGAACCCCTCACTCCTTACCTCCCGCCTGCTCGCTGCTTCTTACTGCTCAGCTCACTGCTCCTTAGCACTGCCACAGAGGCAGGAGAGGCTCCCACCACCGCTGCTGCACTCACCAGCCTTGAGCCTGGTTTCTGGCTGAACTGCGCTCCCCCTGTGGAAGCACACTGACGACCAGGGGGCAGCTCCTGCATTAAGCATCTGCCCCTGGTGGTCAGTGCACATCATAGTGACTGGTCGTTCTGGTCATTCCACTGTAATGGTTGCTTAAGCTTTTATTATATAGACTAGTGGCCAAGTGCACGAAATTCTAACACACGGGGGTGTCCCTCAGCCTGGCCTGCACCCTCCCCAAGCTGGGACTCCTCGGGGGATGTATGATTGCTGGGATCAGGCCTAAACTGGCAGTCAGACATCCCTCTCACAATCCTGGACCGCTGGCTCCTAACCGCTCACCTGCTTGCCTGCCTGATCACCCCTAACCACTCTGCCTGCCAGCCTGATCACCCCCAACTGCCCCCCCACTGCCAGCCTTATTGCCCCAATTGCCCCCCCGCTGGCCTGATCACCCCCAACAACTGCCCCCCCTGCCAGCCTGCTCACCCCCAACTGCCCACAGGTACCCTTGCAGGTAGCAGGTGCTGATTAGGGAAGGAGGGCATGATTGTTTCCTGGGACAGTAGTTATGGAAGCTTTGCAGAGGGTTCCACAGGCCTCAGAGGGGCAGGCTCTGGCCAGAAGCCTTGTAGCAGTGGTCATCCCTGGAGGCACTGGTGGGAGACAAGGAGTTAGGGGGGCACTAGGAGGGCAGTGAGGCTGAAGGGGGAGTAACTGTCAAACCTTCCTGCTTGGCACCATTCTTTAAATTGCACGTGGCTGTTTCACAGCTGTACCTGCTCAGGGAGGGGCTCCAATCTCCTGGAGTGGGGTGGGGGTCGGGCCAGGGTGGAGCCAGGCAGACTAGGAGGGCGGGTATAGCCGCGCCCCCTGCGAGGTTCAGCGAGCTTCCTCTGCAGAGACAGCACTGCTGCTGGGGTGGGGGGGATGGTCTGACACTGGGGGGGCAAGGGTTCCACAGGCCTCAGAGGGGCAGGCTCTGGCCAGAAGCCTTGTAGCAGTGGTCATCCCTGGAGGCACTGGTGGGAGACAAGGAGTTAGGGGGGCACTAGGAGGGCAGTGAGGCTGAAGGGGGAGTAACTGTCAAACCTTCCTGCTTGGCACCATTCTTTAAATTGCACGTGGCTGTTTCACAGCTGTACCTGCTCAGGGAGGGGCTCCAATCTCCTGGAGTGGGGTGGGGGTCGGGCCAGGGTGGAGCCAGGCAGACTAGGAGGGCGGGTATAGCCGCGCCCCCTGCGAGGTTCAGCGAGCTTCCTCTGCAGAGACAGCACTGCTGCTGGGGTGGGGGGGATGGTCTGACACTGGGGGGGCACTCAGGCCTGCCTCCACCCAGGTCTGGAGTTGTAGGGAGGAGAGGCGTGCCTGACCCCAGTGGAGGGGGCCCGGCAGCTGCAGGCCGCAGGCCCCAGGTGCCTTGGGAGTGCTGATGGTTGGTTGCTGGCGTGCTATTGCTGTGGGTACCCTGGCGGGGGTGGTGGGGGAAGAGATCAGGAGTTGGTGGTGTGTGCTGCAGCTACCCTCGAGGCTGGCTCTTTTCCCCATCCTGCCAGCCTCCCCATGCCCCTGGGGTACGGGGGTTGGTGTAGAGTGTTCATCCATCCCCCTGGGGGTGTGGGGGCTGGGGTAGAGTGTCCATGAAGGGGAATTGAAAGAGCTCCCCGTGGCTGTTTCCTCTTCCTTCTTTGCAGTCTGGGCTCCTGTTAGACGCTTTCCTCAGAACCCCGGGAATTTGGCTCCAGCCACCCACCCCTTGCTGCGTGCACATCAATATGCAAATAGGTCGTTACGAGGACACCATCAAGGACAAATTAGCATATTACCTCTTTATATGTGTAGATTCTGGGTACAAGCATAGGTTAAAAATTAAAGAGTTTTGTTTCAATGGGTTTCTTTGTGGTAAATCCAAATTGTAGGAGGGAACGCTATAATCTAAGGAAGAAGGCTCCACTATCTGTTAGGGGGTGAAGCATATATGGCCAAGTAAAGTAAGAACAGATGAAAGCCTCACACTGGATTTTTACATGCTCTATAAGATATCATGATGATGACAAAATAGTATTGGCTCTGTAGTTAAAAGACCTGGGTTTGAAACTCAGTTCTGCCACTCAATTGTTTTCTGATCATAAACAATTAAATTCTCTGAGCCATAAATTTTTACTTGAATAATAAAGATACTATTCACAAGGCTATTATGAGATTCCATAAAATACACATAAAACACTTAGCACCCATGCCTGGTACATAATAAGAACTCAATATAACTTAACAGGTTTTCCTCAATAGATAGGGTACTAAAGTTACTCAATAATATATTAGCTTCAAGGCAATTTTTAAATTCTTTTTTATTTCATGTATGTACTCCCTCAAAATCTGGACACAGATATGATTATTTGCAGGCTACTATTTCTAGTCTCTTTCAAGAAATAGATGATCAGTTATTGAACACCAAGATACATTCTTGGCACGTTATCCCCTCTATATTACTCATATACACTTTCTTCTTGTATTAGACTTTGTTTGTAAGTACTTAAAGAATAAAAATGTCATTATCTAACCCCCATTGCCTGAGTCTCTTCCTAAATTCTCTATCTTAGCTAACGTCACCATTATCCAGCTTTCCACCCAGACTAGACATGAATCATCCTATATTTCATCTTCTCACCCTATATTTTAATCAATTACCAAGTGTGATGTGATTAATACTAATTACTAAACCAACCTGAAACGTTTTTCCACTAAATTGAATTATCTTTAGTTCAGGTCTTCAGTATTCCGGCCTTTAACTATAGCAACTGATCTCCTTCCCATTATTGCCTTCATTGCAATTAACCCTCTATACCAGTGGTTCTCAACCTCCTGGCCCTTTAAATACAGTTCCTCATGTTGTGACCCAACCATAAAATTATTTTTGTTGCTACTTCATAACTGTAATGTTGCTACTGTTATGAATCATAATGTGAATATCTGATATGCAGGATGGTCTTAGGCCACCCCTATGAAAGGGTTGTTCGACCGCCAAAGGGGTCGCGACCCACAGGTTGAGAACTGCTACTCTATACTAATTGTTTTTAGAATATTTACTCAGTTACTTTAGCAGTGGTTCCTTTTACTTAGAGCAACTTTTTTATTTATTTAAAGGAAATCCTATATGAATTAGAACATGTAAAATTTTAATTGAGGCAGAAATGGGAAACCTGAAAAAAAAGTACTTCACCTATTTCATGTCAGCCAGTAAGGAAAGTCCTTGAAAGACACTTTAGGAACCAGTGGTCTATAGGAAAAATCTTAGAAGGCTAAACATAATAAATAAAAGGCTAACTTCATAAGTTGTCTTTTCCAACCCCTTCTATTCTAACCATATCACCTATGAGTCTCTAACCTCAAATCTCTGCTCCTGTATCTTCAAATTAATTGTCATTTCCCCTAGCACACCAAGCTATTTCTCATCAATTTATATCTGTTTATATTCTCTCTGCTTAGAATGTTTCCCCCTTGATTCTCCATTTGTCTAAAACTCATTCTATAAGACATAGAGCCAAAGTTCCTATCCCTCTGAGTATTACCCAATTTACCAAATTGATTTAGTTGCTCCCTTTTCTGTGATCTTATAGTACCTTGTATATACTTGCATTATAGTCCCTACCACACTTTAAAGAAATTATTAGTTTAAATGTCCTTCTCCCTAATTCTATTATGACAAAGAATGTTACTTGTAATTGTGCATTATCTAGGACTTAATACCCAAAATACAGTAAGTGCTTTGTAAATATTTGTATCATTTAATTTATAAAGATCTCATTGTTATTAAATTCAGTTTCTACCACATAACTCTAATGATTTTAAAGTTTTAATTAAATAAATATTAAGCTTAAGTGTTTTGTATACTTTTAGGTTATTATTTAGAAAATCAAAAAAGTTCAATGCTAATTTATGAGATATTTTTATGGGAGCGCTGTTTATCAGTGTTCAATGAAAAACACTGAATTATGATTTAAGACAATGACAACTTGCACTTTCTTCTTTTCTAATCATAAGGTTTCTATACCAGAAGTGCATCTTCTTTCTACTTTTTAACCTGGAGTAGTATCTTGTACAAGATTCACAGATGCTCAGAACCCTTGAAAAACAAGCAAACAAAAAATTTTACTGAAACATTTAAGTAAGCACGTGTGCTGCATCAAATCCTAGAAGGATTTGAGACAATGCTAGTTTGGCCAGTGCACCTCCCCTAAACCCCTTCCCCAACACACATAATTATACATACATACATACATACATACACAAAATAAAGTTTTAAAAGTGATTTTCTGCAAGAAAATAATTAGTTTTTTAAGTCATATCCACTTGATTTGAGTCACTAGAGTAACAAAACTGTTTACATGAATACTCAAAAAATTCAATAACATAACCTCTAGTAAATCTTGAAAAGCTCTGAAGGACAAAGCGGTTAGATCAATATTAGTTTATTTCAAATGCTGAGCAGCATAAAGAGACAAGGCAGATCATGGGATGGATTTTATTACCTGTGGGAGTGATAAGTCCTGGTGATAAGAGGCCTGGAACTGAATGTGGCAGAAGGCGCGCATTGTCCTGCAACACTCCCAAGGAACGTTTAGGAGGCCTGCCAGGCCTTGAACTGTTGAAAAACAGACAAACAAAGATCAGGTTAAAAATGTACCCTTTTTGCAAATACAATTGCTTACTACATTTGCCTCCTAAATCTTAATTGGCAAGATTGATAGAATTTTATATTAAAGACTATGTTCATTGATTACTAAAAGACCAGTATTTTCCTTCTCACTAAATTTAAACTATAAAAGATCAATTTCTATTTTAGAATCCATTTATAAGCTAGCACTTTGCAATACAGTTTACCTGTTATGAGAAACCCACTTACCCCCTGCTGTTAAAGCTACACTTGATCCCTGGTATTAATACATGCTACTGAGATCTGAGATAGTAACTCACAGAGTTAAAATTGTATGGACTGTGAAGTGATTAAGTCTCTGTCCAGCATGCCAGAGGTAAGGGGTAAAGAGTTGAGAGATATAGAGTATGAACTGATGTTTATTAGCATTTCCACAGCTGCCAGAGCACACAAGGAACAAAAGACCCCCACTCTCAGTAGGATTTTTTTCCAACTTTTTAAAACCAGGCTGTATCACTAGCAGTGCACTCTCTTGGAGTGGCTGTACTAGCAAAAGCTACCACCTTTGCAATCTAGGCTGTCTTCTTTCACAAGTTGATTGGTGATTTTAACTGATGAGTTGAGGCTAAACTTATAACATTAACCTAACCTAGTCCACTTGCACATTCTTCACCCTAGTGTGAACAGTTCAGGAATTGCAGTAGCAAATGTTAATCCATAAAATAATGAAATAGAAAATCAGTACCTGGCCTTCATCTTGTACCCTAATACAGTCAGTATACTGAATACATCATTTGGAAGCTGTCACTACAATGAAGAGATACATAAGTCTCTTTATAGCATCAAGTCATTCTCAAGTCACTCAATATATTTCAAATATTACTTTCAAATGTTGCCTAATATATTGCTGTTGCTTTTTAGTAGAAATGCAGTTTGCAAAATTGAATAAGAGTTCTTTTGATAAAATACTGCAAAAAATACTACATTAAATAACCCAAGTCACAAAAATGTATGAGGTTCAGATAAAGAACACTTCCAAAAATGACTTTTGGTTCATAAAGAAATTTAAGTTGAATCTTATTCTATCAATTTTGCAGTAGCAAAGCGCTCCATCAATGTAAGAGAAACTCTGATTTTAAATGAAGACAACTTCTAGCAACCTTACACAGAGGTACCATTACCCAGTTCATTTTTCATATACTGCTGGTGTTATTTTCTTTCATTGTACATCAATATTGTATATCAGTCTAGCACAAAAGAGTCTGTTTTTCTCATTTAATGTTTCAATTTTATAAACTGACTCTCCTCTCCCTCTTTCTACTTGATTCTGGGCCATAATTTATTTTATTTAATTCAGTGTTGTTATCTTGTTTGCCCTTGCTCTGTTTTATAGCTAGTGATGAGAGAAATATGCTATTTACTTGAAGTGCCCTAAAGTTCCAAAATCACTGAACAATATTAATCAGAGAACATCCAGTCATTCGAAGAAGGTATGTTAGCTTTTTAAATAATCTTCACCAAATCTGTACTTTTTAAGTGCTTCTTTGGGTCTTTCTACTTGTCAGAACTTGAGCCTACTAACTTTATTCAAGTCCACCTGATTTCTCTTTGTAATTTTCCATTGTAAACATTTCAGTGTTGTCTTCATGGTCATGATCACTTTCAGATGGGCTATATCCAGAAGTAAGCAGCCTGGTGCTCCCTCTACTTCCATATTATGAGCCGGCCATTGACAGTACACTTTGAAAGCTATACGGTTTAAATCATTCTCATCCAAATTTCTTGGTCCATCTCACTGTTTGACGTAGCTCTTTTCCATTAAGCTGACAGGCTTGGGAGGCATTGGAGGCCCCTTAGTCTGGTGGTTCTATCTTACATATCAATATTTAAAAGACTTGGTCAAACTTCCCACCATCAGATCTATATTGGAAAACCCATGGCTTAGATCACAAATGGCTTCATTGTATTTACTGCATATGCCATAAACCTTATTCTTCATCCTAACATTCTTTTTAGTGTATAACTTTTTTATGTTGGTATGATTGTTAGCCTTCCCAACTAGAATGTAAGTCCCATTAAGGCAGCACATATTTCTGGTTTTGTCACTGAATCCTAAGGAATTTTCATAGTGTCTCGCACACAGTAGGATTCAGTAAATGCTTAATTAAATTAGTTCATTAATAATGACAGGAAATATTATCTCACTGTTGCTACAACTTCCAAATATTCCTTACATTGTTCTACTCTCCGTGACCACATGAATCTCAAGCTAGTTGCATTATATAGTCCATCAAATAACTGCTTTTAAGTCTTGGATTCTACAGCCATTATAGAACCTTCAAAATATGTTTCATTCAAATCTGATTATATACAAGGTTAAAGGGTAGTTGCCACTATCTCATGTGTGAGAGGTTCTACAAACTTCAACACCTGCTTAAGGACTAAAAATCTCTGGAGTTGTACATATACAGTGACAATATTACTAATTCAATCATCCAGTAAAGGAATATGTACTAGGTGCCCATTCAGTATGAATCTGGTGTTAGAACTAGGTATGAGAGTCACAAAGGTTAAAATGTAAGCTTGACAAGGTTAAGGGTTTTGGTCTGTTGTTTGATATATTGTAAGGACGTAGAACAGCTTCTGCCTTTGAGGAGCTTATGGCTAGTGATAAAGATTTGTGTTTGACCTGTTCTTTAAAATTTATGATTAACTCTTTAGTGAGTATGATTATGTGATATCCACTTCAAACTAGTTTAGATTTATCGGTGAGCAAAATTCTCATTCAGATGCTTTCATTTTTACAAGAAGACTTGGGCCCCTAGAATAAGTTAATTAGAATCAAGTTTGTGAAAGTGTTCCATACTAATGTAAGATGGTTTCATTTTTACTTTTAGACCTAATGATCCTCTGTAGTAAGATATTCCTAACACTAAATTTCTTGCATTTCCTTTCAAAGAACACAAGCCTGACAGCATGATGAAAGACTATAGAGAGCTCCATAGAATGCTGGTAAAAATCTTCTTGATAGATAATCCTGCCATACTTCTGATCTTTAAGAGCTCTATTAACATTAGGCATATATTTACATATTAATCAAGACAAATAAACATGTGGTGATTTAACCAGAAAACTGTTTTTTAGATGACAATTTAATTAGCATGGGTTGAAAGCTCCATCATTGCAGCATCCTGTTTCTGCTAAAATATTGATTGCATTACTGATTTCAGTAATGCTTTATTTTATAGAGTATAAATAACCATGTAATTACTCTTTAATTAAATGGTAATTGCTTGTTGGCAATTATTTGTTTTCAGTTTAATTACAAGGTTATTTGTACTCTGTAAAATAAAATAGGCCTCTTTTTAAAATTTGCCACCCAAATGGCTCAGTGGATTTATCACCCATAACACCACAAACAAACGTTGTTAAAGTACAAGAAAAACAACCCCATGAAATAGCAAAATTTTAATTAAATAATTCAGCTAAATCTTTGAGACATTCAGCTTTATAGAATCAATATTGTGTGTAACATAAAGAATCATTATTTTCTCTGGGTCCAGATTATCTTTTAACCAAATTTACTTTGGTATGTATTTTACTCTTTTTTCTGCAAACTTCTTTAGAAGAAATGAAATAATATCTGAGCTTCGTGAGATTAAAGAATAATCCAACTTGAAATATAGTATATCCACAGCATTTCATATTTCCGCAGTTGAAGTGAATTATAAAGTGCTACCTTGCCATTTATATACTTTGTAGAGTTGGCAGTTCCCTAAGAGGGAAATTCAGTAGGTCTTCTGTTGTCAACAGGATATGATACATTCTATGATATATTTATTTGAAGTTGTAATAGCTGATATTTTGCTCATTAAGATTATGACATTTCACTGTTGAAATTTTATTTCATGTCATCAGTCATTTATATATGAATCAAGGAGTAACTTAGGTGAGTGATTTTGTTGTTTCAAAGAAAAATATTTTGTTAGTAAATTCATTAATGATGTCATGAGTCTTCAAGATAGTTAATATAAACCATATGGTCACACATGATTTAGTGAGAAATCACAAGTCATGTCATCCTCTTTAATGAAAGTTTGGCTTAAAATTCTTTAAAGAAACACTTGTAACATTCTAGGACAAACTAAACAAATTGCTGAAGATAGAGTGGCAGTTAAAGCAGGTATTAACAACAACTTGTAAAGACCACTGAAGTTGGATTCCTGAAGTGGGCTGTTAATAATGACCTGGGGTTTACTTTTCAGAGCTATCACTGATATTTAAAATCCCTTGGAATGGTTCCTGAATGTGTCATTTTTTTGGATTACATTAGAAGCCATGAAAACAACAAATAACACTCACTTTGAAGGAATTGTTTACTTGACTGTAAAAATGCTACTCTTTAAATGTGCTGTTAAATTAAATGAATCTTTTTGAAAGAATGGAAAGTCTTTTAATTGCATCATGGATTAATAATAACCTCTTAGGTCTGGCATTTATTACAACATTTCAAGGATGCCAATGGTAGTTAAACTCTACTTGACCTTTTAGTGTTTATGAAGAGAAACAAACTCTGACCTCACAGCAACCTGAATCCATCTTCTCTCAGTGTTGGCAAACTGATCACTTTTCTAACTATTGCACTGGATTGTATTCCCAACCAGATCAAAGCCAGTAGCAACCAATTCAGCAAGCCAGAAGTCATCCATGCAAAATGGGCAATTAACATTAATCATATATGAAATTGTTCAAGCTGATAACTGGAACCTTGTCACTATGGTAACTCTCATAAAATGGTGCTTATGTTAAACTGGGCGTCAATCAGCCCTTGGTTCATGGGAACTTAAAATGTGGTTCATCATGTCTCTAGTAGCTATCAATACAAGGAACAAAAACCGCACTGGAGGCAAGGTCATTTATATTCCATTACTATTCACTCCATACTTTAGTCCCTATATGCACATCCAAAACTTAAATTTGGATATATT